ATGTTCTGTTTGCGCGAACGACCAGAACACATGATAGAGGACATGTCTCAATGGGTCCCAAAAAAACATCCCTCCGGTGTCCACAAACCATTTCAAGCCAGGGTTGTAATACTGCATTGCACATAATATGCGGGGCACCCTGTTGTACGCTTCCTCCCAAGTACCCCATCGAATCGGTAGAGCGATTTGCTTAGCACGCCAAGCCTTTCCGTACGACACATCGTACCTAACGAATCCAGATATGGACTATTGTAAAGAAGACACCGAGATGTCGTTATTATCATCAATGAGCCCCAATATACGATGGGCAAGGTAACGTGCAGTGAGCTGCTGATGATTTTTCTTCCCCCTATTGTCTAGGCAAGTGTGGGGTTCAACAACTTTAGTTATCCTCCACTTGCCATCACTCTGTCTCCTTCGTGCATTTAACCTCCACAGACAACCATTTTTGCATATCAAGTGGTACCTCAACTCCTGGTCCGAATAAGTGATGGTGTACGGTCTATGGTGGTACACAGCATAGTCCTGAAGGAAGAGTTTTATCTCTGACATTGTGTTGAATATCATCCCCATCATAAGGGGTTCTTTCTCATGGTTATACAATGAATTCCTACACAGCTGGAGACCGGTATCACAAACTGCCATATCCGTCATGCTGACATCCCTATAGTTCGGAACGCCCATGAAAGGTACCTTCTTGGACTTTAGTTGCTCAAGCTCAGTCGCTGTGTAAGGTGGTGGTGGAACATACTGCTGCGCTTCGCTAATTCTGGCCCATAAATCATAGGGGTTATCATCTGCAGCTAAATCTGTGACTAGTCTACCCTGAACATGGACACCATGCAAAACCTCAGTTGGTACTGGTAATACCATAGTATGAACCGGCACTGGCATGGCATCAGCCGGTGTTGCCATAGCATCTGTACCTCCTTGGTCATCATCAGAATCGTCTGAATCACTGCTAACTACATCACCGATCCTGTCCTCCTCCTCCTGCTCCTCCTCTTCCCGTTTAAACTCATTCACATCAAAGTCATTGCTTATACAGCCTACTGCAGTTGAATGAAACTGCTCCTACGTCAACTGACCGTCCAAATCCATGTTATCCTGAGTTACTTTCCCTTGGACACCTAATTCTTGTTCATTACCTCCAAAGCCATCAATGGACGGGCCGTCCTACACACCATGCATCCTGTATCCATTCTCCACCACCACCTCAGCCATGGGCATATTGAAACCTTGGAGAACCCTAGTATAGCGGGACCAGTGAGCAGGGTCGCGCAAGGGCATGAGGATAGTGTGCCCTAGTCTTCTCAGTATCAAACCTCCCCTTCAGTATGAAATCACCCCCAAAATTTGTATTCAAACGGACACAAAGGTCGTTGAAGCTAGGAGGTTCATCAAACCATTCCAACTCTTCTTCCATATCCTCAAACATACCATCTTCTCTCCTAACACTTCCTCCGTACAAAACTCTAACACAACAATCCATCTGCAAAAGCATTTCAAGAAACTTCATCAAGTCATCGAAATCATCGTACGTAATGTCCATACTAACGTTATTACATTTTCTAACTATAACTATACTAACTAATCAAATATTAACATCTATACAAGGCTAACTATAACAACTTATTAGACTAAATCCAATGTACAACTAAAGTCAATAACTGTACTAACTAAACTACCTTACTTTACTACATATACTAACTTATTATATTACGTATACTAACTAAACTAACTTTACTAACTATATTAACTATACTTTGATAATTTTACTAACTTTATTAACTGTGCTAACTATATTAGTGGAGTACCTCGCTGCAGCGCGCAAGACCGGGCCGGGAGGTGCGGGCGCAGGCCTAGGCGAGCAGCCGCCCTGCGTAACCAGAGGTTCTGGCCGGAGCAGGAGACGCGCCTGCATGCGGGCGCGGCGGTTGCACCGGGCGGCCGGTGGCCTAGTTGCCTGGCTGGCTTACTGCCTAGCTGAACGCGACTGGCTTGCTGGCACAGGCGGGCTGGCTGGCGTGGGCGGACGCGGTCGCGGCGGACGGCGTCCTCGGCGGCGGGCAGGCGCGGGCGAAGGCGGGCACGACGGCAAGGCTGACTTGCTGCGTTTCTCGCCGAACGGCGACTGCTCGGGCAAGAGACCCTGGCGGTGGTTATACCCGGCTCTGCCGCGCCAAGATCGGTGGCGCGGCAAAGCCTTACCACGTCAGCGGTCAGCGGTGATGGTCGCCGCCACGTCAGGCCTCTGCCGCGCCGCCATGCATGGCGCGGCACAGGCATTTGGCCGCGCCAGGGCAATAGGCGCGACAAAAAGTGTTAGTTTAAAAAAACCAGATTTAAAATTAGTTTTAAAAAAATGTTAAAATTAAAAAAAAATCAGTCCGGTCTACCCTTGACGTGGCGCTATGTCAGCAAAAAAACCCCGTGAAACCACCTCGGTGAAAAACAAACGGGGTTGTAAAAGTTGAGGAGGTGCAAAAAAACAGTTTTATATATGAGATGGGCATTGCCTATCAGTTTTAGGGCCCAGCCCAACCGGCCTGGCCCAGATCGGCTCTCTCTCCTCTTTGCGGCTTGCCTGAGTGGGCAGCCCAGGCCCAGCCGACCCCTCCCCCGTCTCTCCCCTCGGCCGGCCCAGCACCCGCAGCCGTTCACGTCACCTCCAGCCTTGTTTCTGGCCCAGATTGTTTTCGAACAGTTTTCTGCTTGTGTTTGGTGTTTCTTTCTTTGTTGGTTTAACCATGGGTGTGGGCCTAAAATAAAAATCATTTCGCTATGTACATTGCAATACTTACAGATCTGTGTTTAGGAAACAGATGTGTGTCTGGCCGCTGCTGGCGTGGTGAGTGAGGGTCACCGTATGCCCCGGCATGATCACCTCAAGCAATGACGAGCTGTTGCGCGCTAATCAGGTCGAGCTGCTGTGTGGCATTCTGGGAAGTGGAAATGGGTGCTGCGCTCGACCATGTCACCATTCAACAAATGACTGAGAATACAATACATCCGTTTTTAGATGAAATTGAGGTGCTATACAATTTTGGAAGATAAAATATCGCAAACATATCAATTCACTACCGGCGATAAGAGAATTAGAAAGATTTAAGAGGGGCCAAAATAGCATCACTATTCGGCTATGTTAAAGATTGATTTAGGTTTAGGTCCAAAAGCAAAGTTTGTTGTACTCAACTCAAGCTACAACTTTTATTAAATGTCAAACTTCATATCTAGAAAAAAAACTATAGTTTTATCCTGGTCAAAACAACATCATGAAAAAAGAGTTAACTATTGGTCCAACACCTAGAAGTATTTTTAGGCTAGTTCATGAACATAAACCCTAGATCATTTTTTATCTTAAGTATTTCTAGACTATTTTAAGTGATCAAACAACAAGTCACTGTAAAAAAATCTAGAGTTAGCCACATTTCTCAATATCCAAGTTATGGTAAAAATTAAAATTTATCAATTTTCATAGCTCGGCGCCGTAGTAATTGGCACCGAGCTTGGCGCCAAGATCTATGGCGCCGAGCTCGACGCCAAGATCCACGGCGCCAAGCTCATGCCACGTCCGCGCCACGCAAGCAGCCACGTCAACGACCCGAAGAAAATGACCCTGGACCTCGACGCCAAAGCAATTGGCGTCGAAATGTGTAAGCTCGGCGCCAATTGTCACAACGCCGAGGTCAGAGTCTATTTTTTGAAAGGATACTGCCAGGAGCGTATTTGTAAAAATCTTTCAAAAAAGGGCTAAAAAATAAAAAATTCGGACATGAGGACAAGATTTGTGAATGGCCCATCGTCTGCTCTCAGAACCATTTGGTAAAGCAGTCACTGTTGTAAAACGCCCTCTGCAGCAGCCAGCAGTGTTTGGTAGCCTTGTGTATATGACTTAGGGGCTGTGTGGATCCTTTATTTTGAAGGAATTGAAATCTACATAATGGATTAGGCTATTTGGCTTAGAATTTGATATTTCATAACTCTCCTAAGCTCACAAATAAGGCTATCTCAAATTCATAGTGTGGGAGATAGAAATAGATCCTACAGATCATTATGCTATAATTTTATTCTTCAACTTATAGCACACTCTTTAACTCACTTCCCTATAGTAGAAATGCAACATATAAACATGTCTCTTGTATGTCTAACAATAAATATATAAATATATTTCATATACAATTATATTAGCTTAATTAATCTATGTCTAAATTGTAATTATAAGAATGAATTCAATTCTAAGAATCCAAACGGACCCTTACTAAATTCGGATTTGTGTTTTGTTTTCACGAGCAACTTCTCTCTCTGTTAAGATTATGACAATAAAGGCCTTGAACTTGATGCTATTTTATTTCTTAACTTGAGAACTTTTATAAGACTTCGTCGTTCCTTGAGAACATGAACTTTGCAAGAGAAATGAAATGTGATTTTGGATATCACAAATGCTGAGGAATGAAATGTGATTTTTTTTTCATTTGCAAGGTTTACCTAAACTTCCCATTAAAACAAAGGAGATTTCAATAAGCTGTATAAAATGGAAGCAACTTTATCCGGTAAATACGACTACTTGATGTTATTACATGTCAGACTATGGAACACTCAAATCCTGATGCCCCGCCGCAGCTCTGCTTTTTGAAAGGAAAAAATAAAAAATGCTAACTGATCCGTGTCTGTCTATACTGCATCTGCATTTTGCTAACCGATCCGTGTCTGTCTATACTGCCTCTGTATCTGCATTTTCTCTGTCTCCTGTGTGTCTATACTACGAATGCATGATGTTCATTCATGATGATACACAGCGTATGTCTTCGTGTCAGGGCAGAGTTGATGTGGATGATGGCCTGCTGCAACGATAGAGGTAATAAGGAACTGAAAAGATGCATCAATGCAGATAATCTCAATATGACTGAATTGCACTTCCATATGTTTTAGCAACAGTGCAGCTGGGCAGACATTCAAATCAGAACGACATTAGTGGGGTAGATGATCACCTGCTACTGTTATGAATGCATAGCGATCAGCTCATCATCTTCACATTTTCTGATGTTAATGCCTATGTTAGTATCAGATGAAGAAGGTGCGATGTCACAGCAATGGCGTATTAAGGCCTGAAAATGCAGAACATTCAGAAAGGGTTTTAAGATGTAGCGTAAGCAATGCAGGTTAAGCAACCATTGATGCCAAAACTTATCCCTACTCATACCCTCCCAGGAGCCAGCTGCAGTCGTTCTGATGTCACTTTTATCAGACGCAGATTCTTCAGAGGGATCAAGTCAGGCGAGCATTTCCTAGGTGGCTGTCTATTGTAGGTGGTTTCTGTCTTGCCTTCCCCCGAAGTAATGCTTTTCAGGAAGAAAAGACCTCCTCTTTTGCACTCATCTCTGGGGTAATGTTTGGTGTTAAACATATACACATCTGTAACATTCCGACCCCTTTTCCATGGTACAAAGGTTTTCTGCACAGCAAGGAGGTCAGGGAGCAGCACATTGCCTTTGAACACCTGGACTGAATAGCCCCAAGAGACTGACACTGTAAGCGGATTTTTTTGGTCGTAGCACACTGTTTGTTGCAGAATCCTGGCTGGATCAGCACTAGCAGCTCGGAAGAAATGTTGCATTGCTCTTGTCCGATCCATTCCAGGATAAAGAGGATACACATGATCGAGATGGTGCAGTGAAACGAAAGGGGAAAGAGGATGTGCTCTTAGCAGCCCAGAAATATCGCCATGAAGATCGATCTGGTCAAAACAAATGCAACAAAAAGAATAATAGATGTAAGTCCAAAGCTAAACTTTTCTGGCATATTTTCAAGTAGACTAAACATTATTTTGTACATAAAAATAAAAGTATTTATAGTGGCAGTACTCTTTAGGTTTTGCTAATTGCCAAGAGCAGAGTATAAAGTAGCACAAGCAAATACGAAATGGACACCACAGCCATGACAACTGCTGTATAAAAATTGCAATGCCATACACTTCAACAACAAGCACTAGTATTGACCAATGGTTTCGCCCTGTTCGTTTGGCCTTGTTTGGCTGATAAGCCATGGCTGAAAGTACGGTTGTCTGATTTGGTGTGAGAGAAAAATACTGTTCGTTGGCTGAAAAAGTACGGCTTATAAGCCAAACAAGCCCAAGCGAACAGGGCGTTAGTATAAATTATAGGGATGTGTGCCAGCGTGGTCCTAAGCAGCAACAATGATAACTATTTTTAAAGTGTCCTCACATCAACATCCGTTGATGTCTATACTACCAATACAGATCACCTTTGAATAGATTCAGCACTACAAACTACCAAGTGGCAGAGGTTAACCAGTAGCCATCACGATGTGTGGTTACATTTCTTTAGAGAGTTCTAAAGGATAAGCTTTTATCCAAGCATCAACAGGAAAAATGCAGGGAAGTTCATCAACTGACATAGTTCCATTTTTCAGAGACCTCCAGACCGGTAGCCTAAAGTTTTCCTTTTGGCAGCATGCTTCCTACTTGCAATGGCCACACAACCAAATGATAACAATATCTAATACAAGTCAATTATAAATCTCAGCCATAAAATATCATCAGAAAATTAAATATTAACAACAACAAGATGCCTTGTCAAAACAATCTGAGCGCCCTACGTGCTACTGACATCCGAGGAGAAAGATCAGTTATGCCACGGATACTTTAATGGTGCCTCCATCAGGTAGTGGTTTCCATGTCTCTACCACAATAAACTACTCGAAGGAGGAATGATTGTCATTACGAGGTAGGTTGTCCAATTTGGTCAGACAATTCCTGAGACAATCCCCTAACTACTGACCCAATTTAACCCAAAGAACACCAAGAAAAAATTCATCTTTATGGCAACTGCTGATATCAAATGTAATCGAACATTCCATGATCACAGAACGAACAACAGCATATGTGAGAGTACGAAGAAGAAGAAGAAGAAGCAGGCACCTGGTGGAAACCTGGCTCGTGGGTGAGCTCGACGCCGAGCTCGGCGAGGCAGGCGTAGATCCTGGCGTCGCTGCCGTAGAGGTGCGGGTACCTGAGCACGCAGGAGTCGACCACGCGCGCGAGGCGGCGCGCGAGCGGCCAGCTGACGGCGATGCCGCCGCCGCCGTATGCCATGGCGAAGCCGTGCCACGCGTTCTGCGCCGCGGACTCGGAGCGCGCGCCGAGGTACCAGGGCTCGCGGTGGTCGTACCTGCGGAGCGTGTGGAGCAGGTTCGGGAGCACGAAGGCGGTGTCGTCGTCGGCGAGCACGAGCCACCGCACCTCCTCCTCCTGCAGCTGCTGCTGCTTGAGCTCGGAGACGAGCTCCCCGGCGATGCGCGCGACGCGGACGGCCGAGGGCAGGCCGCGCGGGTGCGTGTAGGGGAAGTGGGACGCGTCGGCGGAGACGCGGAGGGCGAGGCCCGGCGGGAGGTCGCGCGTGTCCGCGTCGGGCGCCGGCGCATCGAGGAAGAGGAAGGCGCGCGCGGGGGCGCGCAGCCAGAGGCGGAGCAGGGGGAGCCGGAGCGGCAGCGTGCGCTTGGAGGAGGCGATTCCGAACACCACGTGGCGCAGGGACGTCGGCTCCGATGATGAATCCTCCGGCTTCGGCGCCGGGGGCGGAGGTACGTTGGAGGTGAGTGGAGGGGAACTCGGCTCCTCCTCCGCGCGGTGCGATGACGACGCCGCGTCGGCGTGCGTCCGGAGGAGCGGCGGGGGCAGGGGAGTGGGGCGGTGGAGGAGCTGGAAGACGATGAGGATGGAGAGCAGGGGAGGCGCGAGGAGGAGCACGCGGAGGGGGACGCCGTGGGACGACGGGGTCGCCATGAGCGGCGCGGCGGGGAAGTGTCCGGGGCCGAGCCGTCGAGTCGAGGTGGCGGCGGTGGTGGTGGTTTGGGTGGGAAGTGGAGGCGCATGAAAAGGAAAAACCAACCGTCCGTCCGCAACGGAAGGAATCAGGTGCGGAGTCAAATTCAAATTCAAGTCAATTTTGTTGGGAGGGGCCGCTATCCGATCTCTTGCGTTCCAGATGGACGGTTTTTATTGAAGTCACAATAGAGGATGTTTGAATAAAAAAAAATAGAGGATGTTTGGATCCTATAATAATTGACTTAGGCCCTATTTGAATACCATATATGATTATAATAATCAAATTTTGATCCGAACACGATTAATTATATATAGATTATTGTTATAAATATTTTTATTACCATAATTGCATAATCCAGGTGAGACTAGTTTAGAAGATGATGGGTGCTGAAAGTCTAACTTACACCACAACCGATTGTCCAATTTGCTAAAAAAAATTGAAGGGTTGTCAAGGGAAGTCCCAACCTATTTTTTTTATATACAAATGGAGACAAAAAAAAGTATGTACATATTACAGGGCTTGCAAAGCTCAAAGAAGAAGAAAAAACATACAACTATGGTAGACTGTCTCGCCATAAACTTAGGGGGTCTAAAATCTGTTGCTTGGCTTTGATACATACCAAACCAAGCTCCTCTTTGAAAGCTGATTTCCAAATTGCCAAGCTGCAAGTTTTGATGTAAAAAATGATCCCATCTAGTGGTTCGGATTGTCCAGGAAGCAGTGATGGTAATCTCTCGGAACCAATTTGACAAATTAAAGGATATAAGATAGGAATTTCTCACATTAATCAACCATAATCTAGGGACCAAAACACTCTGGTTATTATGATCCTGAATTCATTTTCTAAATTATTATTTGGAGAGCCATTTAAATAAAATTTGCTTTCTATAATGTTTCACCTTCCAACAACTTCTTTGTGCACTTTGGAGAGTTAATATGTGCTCTTCATCTTTGGCTACTTTGAAGATCTCTGCTCTCCGTGTTTGGATAGCGAGAAACTATGATAAAGAATAGTTATATTTAGAGTTCTAATTAAAGAAGCTGATGGAAGACTTCGTTTATCAAAATCTCTATTTCTATCCATACAAATGACACGTAATGAAGAGATAGATTTAGGCATAAGCTGCAATACATTTTTCAACCTCGTAGTTTGAATTTTTCAACATCGACTACAAACCCGGATAAATCGATGTCCTCTAGTTATCAAAATCAGAAAAATTTGCTCCTGTTACTGGTCTCAAATGTGTTTTTTTCTATTTTAATAAAAATGTAGTTTATAATATAAAAGTTCATAATTAATTTATTTTATAAATCAAGAAAAAATTGAAACTAATCACATTTTCATAAAATGTTTTGTAACTATTTATGATATATAGTTATTTGGAACTAGTTTATTTCTGTTCATACTGGTTTATTGCTCCTAGTTATGCTTGTGATTTTTTAAATGATACAGATAACTCGAAACAAAGCACCAACAAAAAGATAAGGTTTCTAGAAGAAAATTGGGATCAATTTCATATTGTGCTGATTCAAAATAAACTAACTATGAATATTTAGAAATCAAATCAGATTTTTATTATTGTGGAAAATAAAAAAACACCTTTGAAATCCGTTAGAAGACAAAATTTATCAGTTACCCGATTTCATAGTTTAGGGTTGAAATTCAGACTAACGGACAACTTGGAGCCAAGTTGAAAAATGTACTTCACCATTAGACAAATGTTGGTAGAATCCACTTCTTTGATTGACTCGCCATATTGGCGTGTTTAGTGTGTCCAATGTTTGGGTTAGTAGAACTTATTACGAGTCAAAATATCGAGCAAGAACGTCGCAGTTCACACAAAAAAAAAGAAGGAAGGCGGGTGAAGGAAGGAGAGAGAGAGAGAGAGAGAGAGAGAGAGAGGGAGAGGTACAGAGAATCCTCAATCCTTGATCACCAACACGGGTATGCGAAACAAAAGAGGAGTGGATAGTGAGATAGCGACAGCGTCCATGAGACTCAAATGGGTGAAAACGTCAGACGCGGGTGCATGCTGGGTAGCTTGTCTCTTGAGTTATTTGTATAGGTGCGATGCATTTCTGCTTTGTAAAGAAGCAAAGAATGAATTTGCTGTATCATTATTATTACTAGAAATAGAAACATAGGATGAATATTCGTGGAAAGAAAGGAGATCGAGAAAAGAGACGAGTGGAGGCCGAAGAACGAGAATCCCGTCCCGTCCAGGGCATCATCATCATCGCCAATACACGCCACGGCCCACCCACCGGTCAAGATCCGCACTGGTTGACGAATGACGACGACAGAAGAAGAGAGAGGGAAGCTGGATGGAAACCTCGGCCATCCACCTGTTTTCCTTTGCTCCACCCACGGCCACGGACGAAAAGAGGCAGGCAGTCGGTCCAAAAAAGGAGAAAACAGACAGCCGCTACAGAGTACGCGACGACGTGATCGAGCAAGGATTTACCACCACAAAAGTTAAGCCGAGACGGCAGAGAACCATGCAACAAAGTTAACAGAGACCAATACAAGTTCAGTGTCAGGTACTACAGCCGCCGTAAGTTTTATTTCTATATGCTGTAATAACAGTCTGCCATTGAAGTATACTAGAAAAGGAAGCGCCCTACAAGGGTCCTACTGGGAAGCAATAATATAAAACTAGCAAGAGCCCCGCGGCAATTGCCGTGGGCCAGGCAGAGGCAGCTGACATTTTGGGGGTTTTTTGTCGTCTAAAACATAATACGCATCAATTATCTGTGACGCGTATAGGCAAGGGTAACAAACGTTAAATTTTTTGAGATATGATCTTTGTACCAGTAAAAGTACCATGTACAATTGTACATGCTGTTAGGAACAGAGACAACATATGTAGTAGTGGAAGGTGGTTTGTCTACAAAGAGTACACAAAGGTCTGAAGGTTACATGCTGGAAAATAAGCGAAGAGAAAAACACATTTCATAGTCATCTTCATAACTATGAGAATGACAACACAACATGTAACTGAAGGTTAACCCATATATAGGAAGGTTATCGCTAGAATGAGATAGTGGTCCATCCAGCACACTATCATCCATAGAAGCTTCTTCAAAGAAAAGCATGATTAAAAGAGAGTACAAATTCTAGGAGGCACGACTAAAACTCAAGTAGAAAAAGCAGCGCTAATAGAGCTGGCCTATGGGTAGAGCAATGGAGCAATGCTTCTGATTTATGAATCCTTCAATATGTAAGGCTTCCGGTTTTTATGGGATTCTCCAATTGGTGCAGCATTTATTTATTGGCTGTGACAAATCTGATTAAAAAAAACAGAGTGAGTGCATTAGTAACCATGCAATGGTTAAAAAGCAGAGCGCAAAGAACATAGGCGTTATGGAACAATAAGTGATATAGATTAGCAAATAGGTGATGTTATTCCTGGCAAAGCTGCATATAGCTGTCCCCAGCCAAGAAGATTTTTTTTTTTTACCATACTAATTCCATTAAACGCTTCAAGGCTTATTTCTCAATTTCCTTATAGGAGGGTACAGCTTCGTATCTGTAAGAAACATAACAACTGTAGAACTATTAATCGATAATGTCAACTAAACAATAGACTTGCAAGAATGACACACTACTTTGATGGCTACGCCTAGTGGTGTGCATCTTTTTTTGGGCAGTGAAGGAGATCTGGATGTTGGATAGAGCATAATTATTATCTTTGGGGTTGGGATGGTAGGCATAGAATTACATATATAATATCTGTGGGGTTGGGCAGGTAGCAATAAAATTACATATGTAATTGCAGCCACAAGAATGGTGGGAAAAGATGATTAATTTTGGTTAGCAAATTTATGGCAATGAACTGGTAGAGGTGGAAAGGAACATCTACAATATGTTGAAGCTGATATGTAATGTTAATGTCAACGAAGGGTGGGCCTGGTGCAAGCGGTAGAGTCTTACCGTCTGTGACCGGAAGGTCCCGAGTTCGAGTCGCGGTCTCCTCGCATTGCACAGGTGAGGGTAAGACTTGCCACTGACATCCTTCTCCAGACCCCGCACACTGCACTGGGTACACCCCTTTTTTATACGTAATGTCAATGCTTTTAGTTGTTCTAGGCGTCATCCCTGACATAGATGATAGTGTTCACAGGGGCACCTACTATTTCTTTTCTTGTTGGAGCAAAGTTTTACAACCCGAGGCTTTATTGCCAATGCGGCAGTGCCAGTACTGAAGCAATGGCAAGAACATAGTCTGATACCTGAAAAATATGTTGAGGTAATCAGAAGGAATCCCAGCAGTGTAGGTTCTATGACTAATGGTGTAACCAACTGATATATTTCTTTTTTGGCGACAAACAGTAAAGAGCGTGGTTCAATTTAAAATATGTTTTTTCTTAACTTTCTTAATGAATGTATACACAGCTACATCATTTTTCCCTATAGATATAAATGAATGAAAAGTTTTCAGAACAACAATTGACAAAATGGTAACTGCATACCTGGTAACCAACAAAAAGGAATTTTCATCTTTTCTTCAATTCTATACCTGCTATTACTATAAGCAGTATTATTTATGAGTTGGACCTAAAAAAGAAAAGAACAATGGCAAAAAGGAAGTTGTGGAGCACTGAACCTGCAACAACCAATCAATTTTCCCATCACCTAAGCATTCTGCAAAACGATGATACCATGCAGATAACGGTGATCACTCCAGAAACGACATTCCTGTATATGAAATATATTGATAAGCAAGGCTCGGAATTACCTACAGGGTTGAGCAGGAAAATAAATTTACACATTTGGATAGGGACTGGCCCTTATTGTCTACCTTGAAACCTACAACATGTCAACCGAAAAAGGAACATTGTTTTGGTCCTTTGTTGGGCCATGTCCATAAACCGTTCAACATTGTAGGTCTTTGTGTGCTAATTTCATAAACAGCTGCTGCGTCTCTCTCTATATAAACCAAGAATCTGATATTAG